AACTGTAACTGTAAAACATAACTAGTTTTGAACAACCCCCTAGCTATTAGGTGGATGACGGTATTTATTGGGTAAATCACTATCCAGTCAGGGTTAGTGATTTTTTGGGTGGATCCATCCTTTGATGACCTTTGATCAACCTGGCTCCTACAAGAGCGCGGTCCTTGCCAAGGTCACATCGCCCAGAGAAGACTGGTGAGTAGCATAAAAGTCTCAGCATTGACGTCAAAGCGATGTTTGCGTGTGATGAATCTTTCAACACGGCAACCGTAAAACACAGAAACACAGTGTTTTTTTTTTTNAAAAAAAAAAACATACGAAACAATAATTTTTTTCCATGTCTATTTATTTGACATTGCTGGAGTGAATTATTTCTGTCAATATCAATAATCCGGTTACAGGGTTCCGGATTTCGGATTCCGTTTACTACGGTTGCTCTTAATTTCGAAATGCCGGGAATCCTAATTTCAAAAAAGTTGTACGTTGAAACCATTTTTTATTGTCCTTTTTACTTCAACAGGCGAGAACTATACAACGTAACTTTTGTGTATTTGAAGAACTTGTCTTTTATGTGCGGATTCGGAATTCCGGATTCCAGTTTCAGGTTTTCGGATTCCTTATCTTAGGGTTGCCCTCGCTTCTGCATGCATTGCGTGCCGTTTATTAATATACGTTCTTTAGAGCCACACATTTGACTTCCGTTCGTTCGGAAAGTTCATAAACTCACTGATTGAAAAGTCCATTAAAAAGTGCGAAATAAAACACATATTAATTTTCTTACATTTAGATTTCTGCCTTTTTGTGGTTTCTGATTTTAACTCTGCAACAGAGAATCCAGTCTTCTCACAAAGCATGAAACAAGGCAAAAAGTGTTTAGGTTTGTGAAGGCTCACGGGAAATAAACTAAAAAGAAGAGGAGGGGGCGGAGAGAGGTTGGGAAACAAAACTTGTTCCCAGTTGCTTTTCAAAATGACTTTTACCCAGATACAAACCAACCAACTTACTTTCTAGGATTAAACGAATTAAGGAAGTCAAGCCTAGTAAATAAGAAGTTAGCCAAATGCCCACAAACTTCTGGTTCTAGATACATAGTTTTCCAGGCCACAAGTGTTACGTTCTTGTGTGGACTAGTTCATTCAATGTTGCTTTATAGAGCCTTTCAAATATATCAAATATATCCTATCATGTACATGGGCGGATCCAGGATTTTTCTTTGGAGGGGAGCACCACTAGGGAGAGACATAACTGACTAGTGAGGTAAATGAATTTTAAAAGCGAATACGAGCTAACACGAAGAAGGCTTCATCACAGGGGGAGGTGTGCACCGCCTGCACCCTTCCCCTAGATCCGCCTCTAATGTATCATACGGAATCAAGGTAGGAAAAACAGCGAGTCGACATCAGGTTCCGGCGTTCGCAAATTGCTCGAAGTTTAGCGCAAAACGACTTTAGCTGCCATTCTACTTCAACGTCCTTCTGGGGTAAGAGTTCAACATTTCTGTAAAATGAAATCGCACACTTTTAGCAGCTCGACAAGAATCAAATTTTTAATTTACCGCCATGAACGCGTGGAACACCAGATAGAACACATAAGCGTGGCCAGCATGGAAAACCTTACATAACAGTGAACTGAACCAGGTTAGACAGTTCATGACGTTTTATTTAATAAGGTAACAATGATTTTCATTTGAAACTTGTAACTTTATTGCACACTCCCCAAAATAGGTTTTTCAGTGAGCAATACAATATAAACAATAATAGTTCACTTTTATAGCGCACTCATCCATTATTTGCTCATCCATTGTTTACATTATTTTATTATTTTACTTCACACATCTGTTATTATTTAATGTATCCACTTAAGATTGTTTAATAGTGCCCCGAATTAGTTTGTCAAAAGCTAAACACCGTGACACTTAATAAAGTCTTACTACTACTGCTACTACTACTGCTGCTACTGCTACTGTTGCTACTGCTACTGCTACTACTGCTGCTACTGCTACTGTTGTTACTGCTACTGCTACTGCTACTGCTACTACCACTGCTACTGCTACTGCTACTACTACTACTACTGCTGCTGCTACTGTTACTACTACTGCTACTGCTACTGCTACTACTGCTACTACTACTGCTACTACTACTGCTACTGCTACTGCTATTACTACTACTACTTCTGCTAATACTACTGCTACTGCTACTGCTACTACTTCTGCTACTGCTACTGCTACTGCTACTACTTACTCGAAGCGCTTTACAAAAGTATCACTAAAAACTACAATTTCATTATAAGAAACTTTAAAACTAAAAAAAACTAGCAAAATACCTAAAAACTATAATTTAAAAAAATGCAATAAGAAATACATAAAAAATGCGATAAAAATACAATGAATTAAAAAGTGTAGCACTATTCTTGACACCAGGTTAACTCTCCATGTATGATTAACACTTGTGTTCGGTTCGCTAGCGGTTTGTTTAACTCGGGTTTGCTTGCGATTAGCTTTCATTTTGTGTTTTGGGCGACAGTGTATTACATTTATTTTTGCCTGTAGTAGCTATAGTTAAAAAATTCGGGCTTGATCTAGCAACCAAAACTCGGATTGAGTAGTGGTCAGCGAATGTACGAGTCTAATTTCCGAGGTTCGTCGCCTAGTGTCCGCACAAAGACTTACCTTCTTCTTCTTTATTTCATACATAAAAAAATAAGTATGGAATACCCTTGAATTCTACCATTCTAGTGCTGTCAAAAAAGTTTAAGCTTAAGATTGAGTTGATATTTCCAGTAATAATTATCAATAAGTGTCAAAATTGTCTAATCATACAGACGTTTCGGGTGTTTAACCGTTCTTCAGTGTGGAAAGCAACCGTTAAAATCCAAAATATTTATAACTACGTTAAGGTGGCTCCCTATAGTTTTACGATCGCACGCGCGCATAGAACGAAAGCTCAAGTAATCTGCGCGCGCTCAAAGGAAAACGTCAGTGTTTTTCGATTTTTATGATGTCAACATGAGCACAAAAAGCAAAACTGACGGTGAATTTTCTCGCGTGTCCTTCGGTAAAGTTTTTGAAACATTTGGCTAATTTCAACCACATACAATTCCTGTAAAATGTCCTATTTTTGTTAAAATCTTTCGGAGCTAATCTACTACACTTAAAAGAATGACAAATTACAGAATATTGGAAAAACCGTCTGAACAACCTTGACTTTTTACCAATTCAAAATGTCAGGCAATATCATTTCCATGATGTGGCAAAGTGTCAAAAAATTTCACCGAAGGAAAGTACAAATATAAGGGAGTTTAGGCCAAAATGAGGAATATATCTGCTTGCCATTAGATGCGATGTTGCCATGCTAACGGCCTCAATCAAAAATTGACAACCAAAATATAAACCTTATTTTAACAGTACCCATGCTGGTAAATCTCTACAGGGAAAACTTTACGAGAAATTAACCAAGTTTCCTTTTCTAACTCGCGCTCTATAGGGAGGGTGTTCGTAAATACTCTAGGGTGCCACCTTAAATGGAAGGCCGTGCGCGTAAAAAGTAGCGCGCGCACAGGTCAAACGTATTTGAAATTAATGTTAAGGCCATCCGGCTACACATTTCCTAGCTGAAAAGTCAGCTTAATTTCCAGTTGTTTGCGAAGGATGTTGGTTCCTCTACACAAACGCATACCCCGCACCTGGACATCTGCGACAGTGTGACCCGCGGAGTTGAAATGTTGTGCCACGGGACACCCAGGAGTGTTGTTGCGTATGCTTCACAAATGCTCACCAAATCGACTCCCGAGACTTCGCCCAGTTTCACCGATGTAGATATGGGAGCATCTGCGGCAGGATATGCAGTAGACAAGATTTTCCGACATGCTGGTGAAATGATCGCGGACGGTGAAGGTGCTTTTAGGGCCTCGTATCTCGGTGAGAGGATTGATGAACTCGCAGGTGTCACACCGAGAGCGTTGACATGCACGTGACCCAGTCTGCTCAGTAGAAGATTCGTCGGTGGAGTGTACTAGTATGTCTCTTAGGCCGAGGTCGCGTTTTTATGCCACAAAGGGTGGTTGTGGGAAGATGTTTCGCGCTTGCTGATCTTTTGATAAAATGCGAAACTACTGAAGTAGATACCGTTTGATGTGGGTGTTAAATGGGTGTTATGTGTGGACCAGAGGCACTCCATCGATGGTTGTATCTCCCCGTTCCGACCCGCTAAGAGCATCAGGACGGCCGATGGTTGTTACCCTACGTGGATTGTGTTGAAGCGAAGTAAACGGATAGCCACGCTGTGTAAAGAATGTTATTATGCATCTCCCTGGATTTGATGAGGAAGTCATCATTGTCCGAGCAAAGTTGACGAAGGCGGAGGAACTGGCTGTAAGGGATAACACGCTTGCACTCGTCAGGATGAAAAGAAGAGAAATGGAGGCAGCTGTGAGTATCTGTTTCCTTGTAGAAGACAGAGGTTTGAATTCTATCTTCAGAAGTGTGTAGGTTGATATCCAGAAATGGTAGTTCCGTTTCAGTAACAGTTAATGTGAATTGAAGCGCTGGGTGGAAGTTAGAAACAAAGTCAATAAAGGCTTCAAGTTCCTCTCTCCGGCATGAAGCTACTCCGACAACGTCGTCAATGTGTCTCTTGTGAAACTGTGGTATGAATCCTGTGTACTGCTCGCGGCTTTGTTGCTCCACATATCCGTAACGAGGGCGTGCCCAAACGACAAGAGCTCCCCCTTTGTCAGCCGGCTTAACTACCAGATCAGTGCGTCGTCTGAGGTTACGCAAAGCTAGCCTCTCAGCTTGCCACAGATTCGCATAACGGCGTGTGAGAGATCTTTCAAAATCCAGTGTGTTGACAAATCTTCGACAGCGGTCAATATAATGATCAACAGCAGAGAATTGGCCTTCGGGAGGTGTCCAGTTAAATACCTTGGTATCAAACTTTGCAAAAGAATCCGTCTCTGCTGGTGGTGCACTGTCCGTTAGAGTGTCTGCTTTACCATGAAAATGAGCCTTAAGTCATAGACGGTGGAAGTGTTTCTCACGGTCAGCTTTGACTTGATATTCGTCAATCTTATTGTTCACAGGGACAAATGTTAGGCCTTTACTGAGGACTGAAGTTTCTGCTTCCGCGAGCTCAAGGTTTTCAGGGATGATGACAACAATCTTTTTGTCCTCCACATTTTCGTGTGTTGAGGTGGAATTTCGGATGGATGAAAACTCATTACGAAGAAAATGAAATTTACTGTCCTTGAGTAACTTCATTTTTGAATATAAACGAGAGTTCATTTCTGAAATTAATTATGCAATCAGTTGGTAATCAGCATTTGTAGAGTTTTCGCGTAACTGATTGGAAATAGGCGTTAACTGCACGGAAATGTCTCTTTGACTAACTTTCAAGTTTTGAATCGTGGTTTGCATCAAACGTCGGGAGCACGAGTTGGTAATCTTGGTTAAGCGCTTGTTGTCACGGTCAGCTCTCGTAGAGTGAAAGTTGATCTTAAATCCCTTCGGAATCAATCGTTTGCGCAAACAACGGCCAATGAAGACGATGTGGCTGGCGAGTTTGGTCTTCTTAAAGGTGTAGTACGCTAACCCCTTTGCAACCGAGAAGGTTTCCGATGGAAGAAAGCGGAATTTGTGGTGGAGGTTGCGGCGTATTTCTGTAACGGTTTTTCTGATGTTGGGGATCATGGAAGTTGTTAAGTCGCATCAAATAATAAATAATAAATAAATAATAAACAAATAATAAGTTTAAGCTTAACCCTGCAGGAAGGCTCCACAAGCCCTCTCGAAATATCACTGAGGTAACGTAACCTACCTGTTTTCGTAAAAAAAATTCTCAGATATTCCCTGCGGAAAAATATCAACTGATGGTAGTCTTGTACTCAAAATCTAATTGTTAAACAGAATTGCAGCTTTTAGCACGCACTCTCTTTCTTATTAATTGTATGATTACTTTCGGTACTCAATTGAAAACGGCTCTATCTAAACATAGTTAAGATCTAAACCTACAATAAATTGAGATCTGACAGTTTCAGGTTTGAAGAAAACTATCAACCAAGAACTGTTACAGCTATCATGATTTACAGGCTTCAGCGAACTTTGCTTCGATAAAATTCATGATCATTGTCCGAATTTCTTCATCATTTGGGCCTTCCTGAAACTCGTCTACGATTTGTTTGGTAATTGCTAACGCTTCCTGGTTAGCTGCAGAACGTTCTAACTGTTCTATTAAGGTGTCTACACGCGTAGCATGGATGTTCACCTCTTCATCAAGTAGTAATGGTAGAGGTACTTCCGCGTTTGCTGCTGCTCTGGGTGAATGTGTACCTCGCAATATGTACAGCAGGAACCTGAATTCGCCCTCCACGAGTTTACTCGACAATACTGAATCAATATGATCGCGACAAAAACCAGCAAAGTCAGCTACACAGTTTCCAAGAAGGTTTAGACCTGAGTATAGCTCTAGGCATGCATGTTTGTCTTCGTCGATTGCTTGACGGACAGTCAATCTCTTCCCACCTCCAGCTGCACTTGCACCCCAAGCGAACGCACCTGCAGCTGCTACACCTGCAGCTACACCAGATACAGGTGCTGTTGCAAGTACCGCAGTAGCAGCACCAATACCATACAATAGTGACCTCAGGGACCATCCCGGCTGATCACCTCTCAGCTCTGTTCTTCTCAGAGACGAGGAAAGAGCTGTTTCTCGCTCTTTGAGCAATTTTCTGGTTTGTTTTCTGGTGGAGATCCAAACGCGGAATTGGTTCTGAAATGCGTGTCGTAAAGTCTTAAGTCGTAAATATTTCCGTTGAAACCCTAAAGAAGATTAAAAAAATCAAGTGATTGTGAATAGAAAAAGAAAGTGCCATTTTTTTCAGTCATATTTCTATCTACAGCTGCAGCTGGGCAAAATATGACGGCTTTCTTTGCTTTTTTAGTGAAGTGGCAACAGTTTAACGCTGAATTTTTCATTATACCACCAATGATACTGTTTGCGGTACGTTATTTGTAATGTGAAGCGTGATTCACGTAACTTGACTCTTCTGTTTTTCACGCACGAGTGAAGAGACAATTAGAACTGACGAATGAATGACTCTTGTTCCTACCAGGATAAACTACTTCGACCAAAACTTCCAGAACTTCCGGAACGGGAGCAAATTAATGTNGCAAACAACTTCTACATCTTGCAGCCTTAGGACACAGACCATGACAATTCCAATTATACCAGGGCCGCAAGGCGGCCTGCCTGTATAATTGGGATTATATGAACAAATGAAGGGAGAAATACAAGAGAATAAATCAGGTATTGTCTGCTTACTTGTGCCTCGATCCACACTTTTAACGTCCTAAGGGGTACCCCCCAAGAAAACTAAACGCATGACATAATCACATCAAGACCCGGGAGCACTAACCATGTGCTCCCAAGATTCGTAGCAGCTTTTTAACGCTGACTGAGGAAGGAAAAAATAACACCGGCCGAAGAGGCAGTGGAAAACATAACAGTTGGGAGGGGGGGTTGAAGGGAAGGGTTCATATATTTCTCCCTTGACTTGTTCATATATTCCCAATTATAATTGGCATAACTGGTATAATTGGAATTATATTTCACAAACTCCGGTTGAAATATATGAGAATAAATCAGGTAGATTTCAACACCAAGGTATAAGCAAAGTAAACACAGGTTTAATGCCTGAAACATGTAACAAAGACATCATAGAGAACAAAAGTGCTGAATAAATGGATATACAAGTTGAATCACTGATTGGAAAAGTTTTCACACAAGGGAAGGATCCCCTAGTAAACAATTAATGTTGTTTGAGAACAGCATGGCAGTACTTTTGAATTGAACACTGTCTTATAGTAAAACTTCTGGAAGGTGGATAGAGATGACCAATCAGCCATAGTCACAATCTCATCCAGAGAAACACTTCCATTGGCTGCTGCTGTAGNGAAGGTGAACGTGATTTACGTTTGCGATGTGGAGGCACCGTATCTGACCTCAAAATACACCGTAGTTGAAGGAAACCACCGTAGATTGATTCCTACAAGGAAATGTTAAGCTAGAGCTACAAAAAGGGGGAAAATAAAAGCTCGAATACGAGCGAAAAATACTTACCTGTCTACAGGATCGAAGCACAGTGGAAAAAGCTGCTAGAGATCTTGGGAGCACATGGTTAGTGCTCCTGGGTTTTGATGGGATTACGTTATGCTTTTAGTTTTCTTGGGGGGTACCCTTTGGGGTGTTAAAAGTGTGGATCGAAGCACAAGTAAGCGGACAATACCTGATTTATTCTGATATATTTCGACCGGAGTTTGTGAAAGATAATCCAAAAATTGTTGAATTTCCGAAAAGCGAACCATTGAACCAAAAATTCCGGAGAGGGAAATCAAATGGAACAGAAAGTCCCGGTAAGAAGTTTGTAAACTTGGGTATAGCTCGCGAGGTTGTTCTCTGTTCCGAAAATTCCGGAAAATGCTGTTCCACTCGACACAGGAAATTTCCACAAAATAAAAACCGGACTTGTTGGTTGAATGGGAAGCGCCTTACAAAACCTGACTAACCAATGTGAAAAATACGTTCTAATTAATGGATAAAAACGACATATTTGTTAAAATAACTACACTCACCTGAGTCAAAAGCCTGTAATTGATCATGAAGAGCTCTGTATTTCTCACTTGGAATTGATGTTGAAAATTTTATCTTCGATAGGCCAAGTTCATTCAGAATGTCCTTTGTTAGAAGGAATTTCTGCGCCATTTTACTTACATAACCGGTACGATAGTCATCCCACAATTCTTTAAGTATCTGAAGGGAGCCGCATTCCACCGTGATTATCAAACTTCCTGGCTGCACATCTACAATCACCACTTTTCGTTCATGCTCTAAATAATATACAAAGCCATTCAAGTCATCTGGTTTAGATGCGTCGGTTGTCTGCAGGTACTTGTACGCAGCGAGGTTTAAAACGTCCTGTCCTGTGGTAAAACCCCACCACGCCTCCGCCTTCCGCTTACGTGACGTGAATTCAGCGAAACTCATTGCTTCCATCCGTGAAAATCGTCTTTGCTGAACAGGTTGTGAAATGGCCTCGCAATCGATCCGCAGTGGAAGACGAGCTATAAGAGAAATATGTCTCTTTAAACAACGACCGGATCTAACAGATTAACTTGAATAAAACTCTACCAGTAAACTAAGATAGAATCCCACCTTTTTTACTAACCTACGAAATACATTTCGTCCTCATTGTGTATATGCTTATATTGTCCTCACTACCATTATGCTTATGCTGCTGCTTGTACTTCTGTCATAGTGAAAACCAGGCTTTAGCAATAATGGCTAGGTTAGTCCATCAATTTTGTTTGGTTACGATCGATTTACAGCAAAATACAATTTAGGATTTATAGTGAAGTCTTAGTGGTAAGATAATCAGCAGAAAGCTTGATATTTTGGGCTAAAAGAACTAAGACAGCTTTTGAACTTAATAGATGTGACAGCGAGCCTAATTTTCTCAATTTTAGTTTTTCAATTCGACCAGTAGCTTTGTTTATTAAAACTACAATGGAACTGTTCGCGGCATGATGCCACATTTCTTAAGGTGAAAAGTTTTGCCACTACGTTTACACCAATCTTGAGGATTACCTCCTGCTTATCTTACTATTACCGATGTTAGATTGCATATGCGTCATAAATACTTAATGTGCCTTTTGCTGTATGTCGCAACCAAACAAACTTTTTGGATTAACGTTATCATAATTGTTAATAGTTCCTGACAGAAATAAATGCTCTTTGCGTGCTAACTGCTTATATAAGTTTGTTTACGGAGGAAGGCTAAACAATGCACCAAGATCTCAAAGGATCTGTATTTTTTGCTATAAAAAGGGTCATTGAGGATAATTCAAGGACCACCGTTCACCGTTCA